GTGTGTGTGTGTGTGTGTGTGTCGTATAGGTATAACTATCCTCATGGAGGTATTTTCCTCATAAGGAAAAGAAGGTATTTTGTATTTGGAGTTGGGATTAAAATAAGATTAGGGGATTATTAGGGTAAGGATTAAGATTAAGCATACATCTGTAATAGTCAAGGTTAGGGGAAGGAAATATATTATTTCTTTGCAAAGTCCTCACAACCTGTGAGAACCAGGTGTGTGTGTGTGTGTGTTGTGTGTGGCACCTGTGAGGTTCTCTGTACAAGAAGCAGCTACAAAGTTGTCTCCACCAACATGGGGGACAAAGATTTTCGTTCATCTCCCCGATCCAACTGATAATAAGATTATTAATCTGAGAGAGAAAACGGGATTTGAAATTGAATTGGTCTTAAATCCTCCTTGACGAAATAATGTCCAACCCTGATTCACCACCTGAAGCTAAAGTGAACTACTGAAATAAATGAATGAATCTGCCGTCACCTTGATGTTGACCTTTTTGAATAGATTTACATAATCTTTTTTAGGGCAAATTCTGGTAAATGTCCCACTTTAAAGTCCCCATAATTGAAACTGAACTCACTGGAGGGTTTTTCAATACAGGGAAGTGTCAGTCAGGTCTCCTCGACCCAATTCTAGCAGAAACATTTGATGATTGGAAATTAAAAAAAAGTTGTTAGGATCGTTTGTTGTTAGATTTTGAATGAGTCTCTGTACAGTCTGTGGCCCTGTGACTGGGAAACATACAGGAGAGAGAGTGCGTTGATGGGATTGGTTCCAGCTCCTCCCACAACAGGATTTAAGAAATTAAAGAAGAGATGGTAAGATTAAAGTGTGTGTTAGGGTTCAGAGAGAAGTGGATAAAGTACCTTAATGACAGAACCCCCCTATGTCAGTCCACAGGGACAGTGGCGAAGCTAACCTTAGCTCTTTTCTTTATTGATCAGTCACTTAATCGATTGGATAACTCTCATCCAAATGCAGTTCTTATGGGATACACTATTACAATGTATAAGGTTCTGTATTGTGTCCAAATTATACTTATCATATCATAATCATAATGGGAGTAATTCCACCAAAAATAGACTAAGATACAATTGATTATGAATTCAATCGAATCAAACCAACCATGTTAATAAACAGTATAGAGCCATAAACCTGATTGTGGTACAACAAATTACAATAACAATGATGCAAAATAACACATTTGAGTTGTTTAATACAGTCCTATCTGTGCAGTTGCTGTCCATTATAGCATTTCTATTTCAAGCTCATATTTACAACAAGCTTCCGTAGGCGCGTTTCAAACATCACTGCCCTCATGTTCTCACGTGTGCTTTACAATGACAGAACATCCACTTGGGGCACGCCTTCCCCTGTCTGCCGTTAGATCCCAAACCAATGTGTGTCCTATTTTACACACAGTGTTTGTGCAAGTTTCCTGACTCGGGGTCTGGTGAAGTAACACCATAGTTGAGCTGGATGTTGAGACCACAGTTGGTAGTATTTTCTATTTTGGTTTTCTTGTACTTGGTCCTTTTGTGACCGCATGTGAGCTATACTGTGTTACACCACCACCATGTGTCAGAGTACACATCTGCAAAAAAGTACTTTATTATGTACGTTACAGCACGCAGTACTGATGAAAGGCTCCTTTTACATACTTGGTGTGGAGCATAAATGAGCCTTTATTAATAAGTCAATACCACGCTTAAAGGTATTTTTTGGCTATGGTCCGAGTGTTTGGGTATTTCTTACGTATAACCCTGCTACATTGAAATAGCTTGGAAGATAGAAAACCCTGGGTTTTACCAGCTCTAGGTGAAAAACATAACGTCCTCGTTAGTTCACCTTCTGCAAACATCTGTGTCTCAGCCTCCACAGCTTGCACACATCTCCACCCTGTTCATTTGTTCATCAGCCATAATACACCTCACTAATGGGACAGTATGGCTTCTAGCCACGACAGCTTCGGTGCTAATGTGCTGTCATAATAAAGTCTCCTGTTCACCGTCAACAGGTGGAGGCCAGACTGAAACTAAACCATGTTGCTGCACTTCAGTGATGACACAAAAACCCAGCAGCAGTTTCCAAAGTTTTTTAAGGAAGTTCGTTCCGGAATTGTGTGCCACAGATTCCAGACAAGACCTTTATGATGCAGAGACATAATGCATTTATAATGGGGGGGGGGGCAGGTGCAGCAATTCATGTCACATTATAGCAGCCTGCTGCTGTGGTTTGGAACACTATGTCCCATTTCCAGCAATGATAATTATTTATGTTCTGAGACACTGAGGCACTTCCAACATAGCAACAGTATATTTGTTAAAACAGTATATTTGTTAAAACAGCACATAAAGAGAGAGTACCACCATGAGAAGTGTACAAAATAAATAAAATGTAGATTTTTGTTTTGAGAATGTTTTTTTAGGGTAAATGGGTTAAAAGTAAAACCACACAATTGTTAGAGAACAGAAGAGTTAGCTCACACCCAGAGGTGGACTCCATATGTTGTTAGCTTGGAATGACATGTCAGCTACATAAAAAAGAGGCAAGAAAGCTTCCAGCTAGCTATTTATAATTTATATAACGGCAAGGTTAACCATGGGGGAGACACTGTGATAATTCGTGCTGTACTTCGTTAGCAGCCTGCTGCAGGCTAACCTTATAGCAGCAATTAGTTTTGCAAATGACGTTTGGACAAAGCGTGAGTTGAATGTCGATGATGAGTTTAACTGCTCAGTGGATAGAAACAGATTAGACAGTTTTATAGCCCAATGTTTTATCTGTCAGAAGGTGCAGGAACTCATTCCAGTCTCCGAATGCTTTATTTTGAAATGCTGAACTGAAGACAGCCTGTAACTGAGTGCATTATTACATTACAGCAAAGTTTGAGACCTGAAATGTCTAAAGTAAAGGACTAAGAGTAATTATTTCAACAACAAAGTGTTTTTAAAAAGTGCTTTGTCTGTATCGGAGGAGGTTAAGATACAAAAGTGTATTTTCAATACCTTTGGAAAACATGGGGAGGCTCTGTAATAGTCTAGGGCTGCATTTTAGCCAACCACAAACAGAAAAGGCTGAAGTGTTTTTTTTACATAGTCATGCTGCAGATAAATGCTATCTATAATTAGCAGTTATATTTTGCATTATTAGACTTATTTAAGAAATTATCTAACACATCTAAAACAAATATTTACCCCACAACAGTGAGAGGAAAACACCATTAGTGTCAGTGCTCCCTGAAAAACGAGATCATACTTCTACTTTAACACATTGGCCTTTCTCAGACTTAATGAACAATTCATTAAAAAATAATTGCATGAAGAGAATTGTTCTAAAACACTAATCTATTTAAACCTCATTATGGTAATGTCATCCAATGCTTCTCATTAGGTTTAGGATTGCAAAAGGTAAACATATACACATATTGATTGTAGAGACTGTTCCTTAAATCTCTAACTAACAGTAATGGCTAATAGAGAAAAATCACAACCACAACTTTGGGCCAAACAGTGTTTAAAAACAATCCAACTCTGATTTGTTGTTGTTTTGTTTTGTTTTTTTTTTTTAGCGTTAACAAATTGAAAGAATTCCTCCTCACACTGCCCTTAAATGCTCCTTTTGCATCTCAGCCCCAATTACTTTCCTCCCATGTAGAGGCGGCTGCTTTAATGATGCTGTAGTAATTCCTGCT